GCTCAGGCTTGAGTTCAAGCCCCTAGACTGGCACAACACTTTGAAATAGCAACTATCATCATTCCTGTGGCGAAGACTGGTTAACAGTGATTAAGAAAGGTCAAATAAGCCGGGCGCTGGTGGCTCACGCCTGTAATCCTAGCTACTCAGGAGGCTGAGATCTGAGGATCGCGGTTCAAAGGGGCACGAGAGACCGTGGGACTCCTATCTCCAATAAACCACCAGAAAACCGGAAGTGGCTGGGAAGCTCAAGTGGTAGAGCGCTCGCCTTGAACTGAAGAGCTGAGGGACAGCGCCCAGGCCCAGAGTTCAAGCCCCACGGCCGACAAAAAAAAAAAGAAAAGAAAAGAAAGGTCAAATAATTCACCCAAGATTGTCCAGCAAGCTATAAGTGGAGATAGGCCTCAAAAGTGCAAACTATATTATAATTCAGGGCTACAGCCCTTATTTCCATCTACTTCTTGTGGGGCAGGGAGGAAGCACGGCGTAGAGGATAGAGGGTAGCTCTAATGTTAAAGTCACTAAAGACGCTAGGAAAGCCTTAACACAAAGGAAAGCGAACTGGTTTAATGTGGTGGAGAACCTCTAGGGTACCATGGATCAGCTGGATTATAATCCTTCTTTACTCTGTGAAATCAGTTTTGCTGTATTTTTGAAATGCAACTAAAATAGAAAAAAAATGCAAAGAATATAAACACTTAAGACTCAGACTTTGCCAGGCGCCGGTGGCTTATGCCTGTCATCCTAGCTCTTAAGGAGGCTGAGATCCGAGGGTTCCAGTTCAACAAAACCAGCCTAGGCAGGAAAATCCAGAGATTCTAATCTCCAATTAACTACCAGAAAACCAGAAGTGGAGCTGTGGCTCAAGTGATAGAGCACCCACCTTGAGCTGAAGAGCTGAGGGACAGTGCCCAGGCCGAGTTCAAACCCCTCGACCAAAAAAAAAAAAAAAAAAAAAAAGACTCACACCTGTAATTCTAGCTACTCAGAAAGCTGAGATCTGAGGAACACAGTTTCAAGCCAGCCTGAGCAGGAAAGTCCGTGAGACTCTTATTTCCAATACACTACTCAGAAAAGGCCAGAAGTGGCGCTGTGGCTCAAGTGGTAGAGTGCTAGCCTTGAGCATAGAGGCTCAGGGATAGCACCAGACCAGTTCAAGCCCCAGGACTGGCAAAAAAAAAAAAAAAAAAAAAAAAACAAAAAACCCCTCTGCCTTTGTCTTCTACTTTAGCACAACAGTTTAAAAACAAACAAACAATAGTTTTCTTACTATATCAAGTTTAGAGGAGTACACACAACAAACCCACTGAATACCCCTGCTGGTTGAGAGGAGACTTGCAATGCACGTGCACCAGCCACAGTACAATTTCAGTTCAATTACACTGTCCTTCACAGCCCTAAAGCACACATACCCTCCCAATAGAGAGTCTTTACAAAAAGCAAACCAACTAATGCTTAGTTAAGGCAAATTACTAAAGTCATTGCTACACACACACACACACACAAACACACACACACACACACCATAAACCAAGTGTGGTAGCACATGCTTGCAATCCCAGCACTTCGCTAGGTAAAGGCAGATTGTATGCAAATTTGAGGCCAGCCTAGTCCACAAAGCAAGACCCCCATCAAAACAAAAAAACAAATAAAAAACATACCATATTCCAAAGCAAAAACTGCTTCATCTTTGGGTCACCAACTAACCTTAACTTTACCTACATCATACACAAGTCACTTTCTTTTTTATTATTTTTATAATAAGAATGCATCACTTGAACTCAGGGCCTGGGGACTTTTTTGCTCAAGGCTGGTGCTCTACCACTTTGAGTCACAGCTCCACTTCCAGCTTTTTGTTGGTTAACTGAAGAATCTCACTTTCCTGCTCTGGTTGGCTTTGAACTATAATCCTCAGATTTCAGCCTCCTGAGTAGCTAGGATTATAGACCAGAGTCATTGGCACCTGATTTATTTAGCAAATTTTAAGGACAGAGATCTAACTTATTCCAGAGGGTTCTGATGCAACGCATGAAAACAAACTGCTTGCATTGTTTGACCTCAGTTGAAGAAAAACTCAGACTCAGAGAAAAGTCCGGGGGAAAAATCTTCAGTCTCCTACAGCTACAATGTCATGCACTAGGCTGATTTACATATGTGTATATATGTGCATATATATGTACATATATAATCACTCACAATGACCCTGTAAATCAGGCACATCATAAATCTCTATTACACAGATGGGAAAGATGAGACAAAAGATGGTTATAATAACTTGTACAAGGAGTCATTGCTCATAACAGGTGGCAGAGCTAGCATTTGAGCCTATGCAGTTTGATCCCAGCACCTATGCCTGTGCCTTCTTTTCCTTTTAACTTTAATGGACTTCAGAAGAAGGTGTGGTTGATTGAATAAGGGGGGAAAAACATTTGAAAAATATTGTAGTGGAGGAAGTGTGTCCAAAAAGACAAAACACAAATCTCAGGATTTAAAACTACAAATCTAGGACCTGGACACTTAAACCAGAAGAAAGAATCACACAAGAAAGGAGAGAGATCATAAAACATATTTTATTACTAGTTACTGCCGTGTCCCTTAAAGAACTAAAAACACCAGCATCTGAGCCAAAAGGAGAGCTAAAAATAGGCATCTGCAGCAAGCTTTGGAAAGCTTTTAGCATGGTTATGAGGCACTCATTTGTGTAGACTCCCAAAAACATATGCATCACAGAACACAAAAACTCTCAAGACCACACAGCCACTATACTGGTGTCACATTTAAATTTGTCCAGACAACAAACAAAACTAAGGCCGAAAAGGGGCCTTAGAGATCCATGTTTGCTCCAGAGATCACCTAAACCTTAGCAGCCCCACAATCCAATCACAGAGTTCTCTCTCAAAAAAAGCATCCAAGCCCTAACAAGAGGCTTAAATCAAGAAGCTACTGGATTAATGCAGAGTTTATCTGACAATGACTATTTCAAAGATTTGAAACCAGAGAGTACAGACTCTCTCGCTTTAAGATTCCAGAAAAACAAGAACAGAACAAACCTACCCAACTCAGAATGTTGCTCTGGGCACTTAAAACATGCCAGCTTATCCTCTCAGAGGGAAAGCCAAGATGCCAGCCAAACTGTCTTCTTCCCACGATCAATAACCCCAGTGAGGCAAGCGCTATCAAGGGCCCCTGGACTTAACACAGAACGCCAGCTCAGGCACCCAATACCACCTGATGTCATGGCTGATTTAAAACCCACAAGGCAGGTTCACCATTAGTTAAGTAGCAGCAGCCAGGGGTGAGTAGCTCCACTTAAACTTCTAAAGAGTGTACGCTCCTGGGGATGATTATACCTCTGAGTTTAAAGGGGAGGGGGAGGGAAGGACCAAAGAGTCTTAAAAGTTGTTTTCCCTTACGCTGTGGGTGGAGAGGAGGGATCTGAAAGAAAATGGAGGTTTCAGCACTGCCCTTGGCATACACGGGCTCAGGAAGAGAAACAGGGCAAGAGGAAGAGAACACGAGGTGAGGGACGACACTTAACTCCTCCTCCCAAGCGTACCCTCCTCCAAAATGAAGCGAGCTGAAAAGGAAGGAAAATGGAAACACGCCGCTTCCAGCATGGGCTTCCCGGTGAAGAGACAAGGTGATCCGCCTTCAACTTTCCCCATTCTCTCCGTTCAAACCCGGGGAGCGTGGGAAGCGCTCGGGGCCCCCTTCCTCCGGAGGAGCCAGCCTCAGTCTCGGGCGCCCCACGGGCACTCCTGGCCGGAGGGGGGGGGGGGGGACGGAAGGGATGCACCCTACTCGGCACGTGTCCCTCCGCACGCTGACACCGCGCCTCCCCGCCGGAGGCCGAGCCCAAATCCCACCCAGAGCGGAGAAAAAAAAGAGCGCCAGGAGAGGGTGGGGTGGGCTCCGGGGAGCCGCCGCCCGCGGTGGCACGCGGCTCCCCCGCTGCGGAGGAATGCCGGGAGCCGCGGGGCCGGGCCCCACGCTCGCACGCGCCGCCGGTCTTCCCATCCGCCCGGGCCTCTCGGCACCCGGCGCCGAACGCCCACCCCGAGCGGCCGCGAGCAGCCCCCCGCGGGGCGGCCGGCGCGGCGCAGGGCGCCCAACTGTCACCCGCCCGCCGGCCGCGGCCCCGGCCCCGGCCCGCCCGGCCACTCCCTCCCCCGCCGCACACGCCCCTCGCGTCGCCGCAGGCCCCGCACCCGCTCAGCTCACATCTTCCGCCAGCCCCCAACCGGCTCCTCCCGCACACTTGCTCCAAGGCGGAAGACGGGGGGGGGGGGGGGGGGACTACCGAATTCAATGACTTTTTTTCCTTTCCTCTTCGTCTAACCGACCCTCCGCCACCAAATGGCGACCCTCCAAAGCCCCCCCCCCCATCCCCTTTAACTCCCAGGCCCTAAACTTCCTAAACTTAAAACCAAGGAAAAGAATTTCCCCCAATCCGTGCGGCCGGCAGGAAACCTCCCCGCCGGGTGGCAGGGCCGCCCATGACATATGCTCATTAAACCTTTACAACATGGGGACGGACTCGCGAGGCCACCAAAACCCCGGAGCGTGGGGGGGTGGGGGGTGGCGCGGTGGCACAGGGGTTTCCCCCGGAAGGTTCAAGACTCCGTCCCACACCTCCAGGACCTGCTTGGAGGCGCAGGCGAAGAGAGGACACAAGGCCCTTTTCCGCGAAACCCACACCCCTCCCCGGCCAAGTAGGCCCGAAGCACGCCGTTGCCCACTAACCGCTGCGGCCCAGGCGGCGGCCACGGCCTCTCAAGGCCGGGCCTCGAAGCCCGGAGAGAGCGCTGCGGGGAGGGCGCCGAGACTCCCTAGAAACCAGAAAGCAATCGCAATCAACCACCAGCCTCCTCCTCCTCCTCCTCGTCCAAAACCCTAAAGTAACCCACCAAGCAGCGGTGGCTGCTGGGGAAGGGACCTCCAGGTCCTCCGGAAAAGAGGCCTCCCGAACCCCCTGCAGAGCAAGCCGCCGAGATACCCACCTGGGGGGGACTGTCCGTTCACGGTGGCCAGGACCGGCGGCAGCGCGTTCTTAGTCCACGGGTTCACCTTGGGCGGGGGTGCTTCCACGAAGTCTCGGCGGGCGCCCGTAGCTCCTCCGCCCGCGCCCGGCTCGCCGCCGCCGCCCTCTTCTCCGTCGCTGATCGCCAGGCCTTCGGCACCCGGCGGCTGCGGCGGCCGCGGGCTCTCGCGCTCCGGAGGCCCGGCGCCTTCCTTGGGCGGCTTGGCGCAGGGCGGCCGAGGTCTCCGGGCGCCGCCGCCGCCGTCAGGCTCCCCCCCTCCGACGTCGTTCGCCCCGGGCTCGCCCTTGCCTTCGGGAGCCAGCGGCTGCTTCTTCCTCACCAGGCCCCCGTGCTCTTCGGCCTGCAAGAGCGGGGCGCCCCCCGGCAGCAGCGGCTCCACCTGAGTGGCCATCTGCGCGCCCGCTCCCGCCCCCCCCTCCCGGAGAAGCCGGGGCGCGCCCGAGGTGGCCTCCCCCGCCTCGAACTCGGCTCGCAAGAGCGCCCGCGACGCCTTCCTCCGGGCCGCCGGCTCCCAGTCGCTTACGGTGAAGGGTCGGGGTTCACCACGCTAGGCGCGGCCCCCTTTCCCGGCCGAGTGCAGCCGCCGTAGATCCGAGGCCCCCGCTGGCGGGGCGGGGGGGGGGAGCGGTGGTGGTGGTGGGAGGGAGAGGAAGGCCCCCCACTCTGCGGTCCAGGCCTCCTCGGCGCGCGTCCCCCCCCCCCCGCCCGAGCCGCCTCCTCCTCCTCACGAGGGGCCCCCACCCCGAATCTGGCCGGCCTCTCGTCCCGTCCCTCCCTCCCCCCCGCCCCCGGGGCGGCCCGGGCTTCCCGGCTCGGGGGGCTGCAGCAATATGGACGGACGGGGGGAGAGGAGCGGCGAGCGGAGCAGACCACGCGATCCGCGGCAGGCGGCGGGCGGGCGCGCGCCTCGCGACGCGGCGGCGGGCAAGGGGAGGGGACGGCGCTGCGGGAGCGCGCCCGCCAGGCGGGCCCTGGGCGGCGGGCGGAGGGGGTGGCGGGAGCGCGCGCGTAGGGCCTCTCCCGGCCCCGCCCCTCGCCTGCGATTTCCAGCGAGCACCTCGGAGAGTGCGCGGGGTGGGGTGGGGGGAAGAGGGAGGGGAGAAGCGAGGAGGGAGGGGGGGGGAAAGAGCGCGGACCTTACGGGGGCGAGCACGTGCCTGATGCAATTCGGGAGGGGGGGGGGCGACGCAGGGGGCTGGGACGCTGGGGGTGGAGAGGGGGAGGTGTCTTAAAGGGCCAGCGCCCGGGAAGCCCGCAGGTGGAGCACATGGGGCCAGGCCACGCGGCCGGCGGGGCCTGCTAAGCTCCCTGTCGGATCGCTCGCCGGATTTCGGAGAAAGGAGTCGTTAATGTCATCCCCCGATTTCAAAGATACCGTAAAGGAGATCCTTTATCCGCCCCGAGGGCACACCCACGAGGTGCCGGGTCGGGTGCCCGGAGGACCTGGCCCCCCACTCTCTGAGGCCCCGCCTGGGTGACCTTGGGTAAGCCGCCCTGCTCTTCCTGGCTGAACTCCTCCCTGCTAGGCCTGACTGGGACTCTAGGGCAGTCTTGGGTTCGATTCCCGTCCGACGTGGAGGGCAAGCTCTTTCTCACCCCTCAGAAGGAGCGGGCACTTCCAAAGTGCCTCTGAAACAGGGCGTTTATGGGCCGGAAATGTCTTCTCATTCAAGAGTTTCTCCTCCCTTCTTCCCCCCCCCCCCCAAAGAATTGCTGGAGCAGAGTTGAACCTTCCTAGGAACTCTCCAGAGATTGGAGGTTTATTTATTTATTTAAATACCCTGGCCCTTTACCACCTTCAGCAGAGTTCACCTCCCTGCGCCTCAATTCCCCCCCCCCCACCGTAGTAAAATGAAGACATTGTAAAATGTATGACAGCAGTTTCAAACTTCAGTGTGCAATCAATTCAATAAATATTTACTGACCCTGTGCTGTGGTCCCCTGCAGGGTTCTAGGAAACTGCTTCAGTAAACCAGCTACCTGCTTCTCATCCTAGTTAAGTTGGGAAATGATAAACCAGTGCTTGTTTGGTACCTCTGAAGACTATATATAATTACTGCAATAGTAAGACAAAAGTATTGGAAATCAGACACAGTCTGGAATTACACTCAGAAATCTGCAAGACTCTTCCATTTGAACCACACATCCAGGTGGACCCTGGTCCTTGCCACCAGGTATCAGTGGATCAAGCCTGAAATTCTCCTTACTCAGAAGGCTGAGATTTGAGTATCATGGTTCAAACCCTGGGAAGAAAGTCTATGAGACTTTTTTTTTTTTTTTTGGGGGGGGGGGGAAGTGGGTCATGGGGCTTGAACTCCGGGCATGGAGGCTGTACCCTGAGCTTTTTTGCTCAAGACTAGCACTGTACCACTTGAGCCACAGTTCACTTCTGTGTTTTTAGGCAGTTAATTGGAGATGAGTCTCCTGGCATTTCCTGCTCAGACTGGCCTCAAATTGCCATCCTCAGATCTCAGCCTCTTGAGAAGTTAGGATAACAAGTATGAACCACTGGTACCAGGCTCTGTGAGACTGATGGTTAGAGATGTGTGTACCTGTATGTCTGTGTGTTCCAGTCCTGGAGTTTGATTTCAGGGCCTAGGCACTGTTCCTAAGCTTTTGTGCTCAAAGTGTGTACCCTAGTACTTGAGCCACAGCTTCACTTCTGGCTTTTTGCTGTTTAACTGGAGATAAGAGTCTCATGGACTCTTATTTTACCCAGGCTAGCTTCGAACCACAGATCTCAGCCTCCTAAGTAGCTTGGACTACAGGCATAAGCTACTAGCACCTCGCTTGATTTGTTTTTTCCCCTAAATACTAGTCAATGACAAATAGTTGAGAATAGCTACATTTTTTTTTTTTTTTTGCTTTTGTGCTGTTCCTGAGGCTTGAACTCTGAGCTTGAGTACTGTCCCTGAGCTTTTGTGCTCAAGGCCTGTGCTCTGCTACTTGAACCACTTTCATTGGTAAGTGGGAGGTAATTGGTGATAAGATCTCATAGACTTTCCTGCCCAGGCTTGCTTCAAACTACAGTCCTCAGATCTCAGCCTCCTGAGTAGCTAGGATTACAGGCATGAGCCACCAGCATCCAGTGAGAATACTTTTATTTAGTAACTAGTACTTTCTAAATTCTATGAAAAATATTTGACATTCATTATCTCATTTGATCCTTATCATCATCCTGTGACATAGGTATTCATTCTTTCCAAATAATAAATGAGTCTCTCTCTATGCTAAATAAAAGACTAGGCTTTTATTGCCTTCTATTACAAAGGAAAAGCTACTTTCAATGAAGGGAGCAAGGTAGGTATCTGTACCTTTTTTCTTTTTTTTTTGCCAGTCCTGGGCTTGAACTCTGGGCCTGGGCGCTGTCCCTCAGCTCTTCAGCTCAAGGCTAACACTCTACCATTTGAGCCACAGCACCACTTCTGGCTTTTTCTGCTTATGTGGTACAGAGGAATGGAACCCAGAGCCTCATGCATGCAAGGTAAGCACTCTACCACTAAGCCAACTTCCCAGCCCACAAGGCAGGTATCTAGGATCATAGGTAGCAGCTGAGTATCAGAGTGTGTTTTCAGAACAGTATAAATCCCTAGGCCCTGTTCTTACCACAGTGCCCATGCCATGAGTTCAAGCCCCAAGACTGGCAAAAAAAGTTAAATCTGCTGGGCACAGGTGGCTCACACCTGTAATCCTAGCTACTCAGGCAGCAGAGATCTGAGGTTCATGGTTACAAACTAGCCTGGGCAGGGAAGACCCTGAAACTCTCACCTCCAATTAACCCCAAAACTGCAAGTGGAGCTGTGGTTCAAAGAACACGCCTTGAGCACAAAAGTTCAGGGACAACACCCAGGCCCTGAGTTCAAGCCTCAGCCTCCCCCTATATCCCCCCCAAAAGGTGGCTCTTACAAAGCTGGGATCTGAGTGTTACAGTTCAAAACTTGCCTAGGCAGGTAAGTGAGATTTTATTTCCAGCTAATCAGCAGAAAGCCAGAAGTGAAGCTGTGGGTCCAGCCTTGAATGGAAAAAGTTAAGTAAGAGCATGAGGCCCTGAATCCCCAGTTTGGGGATGGGTATGTATGTGTGGGAAGGGAGAGTTGTATCCTACTTTTCTCCTAGAAATAACTATCAAATTAGGGGGACAAAAATCTAGACAATTTGATCACTGGCCAAAAACATGAGGTTAGACAAAGTAATTGCTTTTTTGTTTCAAGGATCAGGCTAATTTATTCCCATCTCTTGAATGTATCATATTCTTAAAGGTTCACACACACATATACATAGTGACAAAAATCAAAAAGTAAAAATGATAGAATCATCTATGATGACACATACTCAAGAGGCTAAGGTAGGACCACTGGGAATTTGAGGACAGCCTTGAATACATAGGGAAAAACCTTAGCTCCAAAATAAATAAATAAATAAGGGTTGGGAAGGTGGCTCAGTGGTAGAGCGCTTGCCTGGCATGCATGAGTCCCTGGGTTCCATTCCTCAGCACCACATAAGCAAAAAAAAAGCCGGAACAAAATAAATAAATAAGCTGGGTAGGAAAGGAATAGTTCTCTGAGTTAGAGCACATTTGAATTTTTTTTAGTTTTTTGTTTTGCTGGTCGTAGGGCCTGAACTCTGGGCCTGGGCGCTGTCCCTCAGCTCTTCAGCTCAAGGCTAGCACTCTACCAATTGAGCCACAGCACCACTTCTGGCATTTTTTTCTGCTTGTGTGGTGCTGAAGAATCGAACCCAGGGCCTCATGCATGCAAGGCAAGCACTCTACCACTGAGCCACCTTCCCAGCCCCTGGATATGTATTTTTATTCCTCTGGTGTTTGATTTTCCAAATAACCTTGAGTTTCTGGAAGAACTTGCACTGAATCTGATATCAGAGGCCCTTGGATCGCCTCTGTATACTGACATGGGGTTGGAAACAGAGGGGCCTTGTCCAAAACAAACAATGGCAGCTGGGGAGTGTTTTTTCAAACCCTGAAGACTGTTGGTCTTCTAGAATATTCCATGAGATGATTTTAGTTCTTGGGAAGAGGCTCAACTGTAGATATGAACAGCAACAGGTGTTATGTGCAGAGGTGGTATTGATATTGACTGCCTCCCCAATACTTTGGTTAATACGCATGGCAGCATTGTGGTGGTGGTGGTGGTGGTGGTGGTGGTGTGTATGTGGCTTGAACTCAAGGCCCTGTGCTCTTTTTTTTAAATTATTTTTATTTAGTTTTTGTCGGTTGTGGGGCTTGAACTCTGGGCCTGGGCACTATCCCTCAGCTCTTCAGCTCAAGGGGAGCACTGTACCACTTGAGCCACAGCGCCACTTCTGGTTTTCTGGTGGTTTATTGGAGATAAAGAGTCTCATGGGCTTTCCTGCTCAGGCTGGCTTTGAACCACAATCCTCAGGTCTCAGCCTCCTGAGTAGCTAGGATTACAGGAGTGAGCCACCAGGGCTCTGGGGTCCTGTGCTCTTGTCTAGCTTTTTCTACTCCAGGCTGGTACTCTACCACTTAAGCCATACCTCTGAGTCTAATGACTCAGACTTTCCAGCCCAAGTTAGCTTCAAACCTTGATTCTCAGATCTCAGCCTCCTGAGTAGCTAAGGTTTAACAGGCTTGAGCTACTGGCAATCCTTTTCTATCAAGTACGACTACCCATTTCCATTTTATTAGTATAGCCTCAGTGGAAAAGGAGGAAGGTGG